GTGATGCGGTTGCTAAAAAGGCAAATGCGATTTTGGGCTGTATCAAGAAGAAGAGATTGGATTTATACCCCGCCCTTCACTACCCAAAGGTGTCTCAGAGTGGCTTACAAACTCCTTTCCCTTCCCCTCCCCACAACAGACACCCTGTGAGGTAGGTGAAGCTGAGAGAACTCTGACAGAGACTGCTCTTTTTCAAGAACAGCTGTGCCAGAATTATGGCTTGCCCAAGGTCATCCAGCCAGGTGCAAGTGGAGGATTGGGGAATCAAACCCGGTTCTCCCAGATTAGAGTCTGCGCACTTAACCACTACACCAAACTGGCTCTCAACAGAAGTATAGTGTCCAGATCATGCAAAGTGATGGTACCACTTTACTCTGCTCTGGGCACCATAATATAAGAAGGATATAGACAAACTGGAATGGGTCCAGAGAAGGGCAACAAAGATGGTGAGGGGTCTGGAGACCAAGTCCTATGAGGAAAGGTTGAAGGAGCTGGGTATGTTTAGTCTGGAGAGGAGACAACTGAAAGGTGATATGATAACCATCTTCAAGTACTTGAAGGGCTTTCATATAGAGGATGGTGCGGACAGAAACAACGGGTTGAAATTAAATCAGAAGAGTTTTCGGCTAAACATTAGAACAACTTCCTGACAGTTAGAGCAGTTCCTCAGTGGAACAGGCTTCCTCGGGAGGTGGTGGGCTCTCCTTCCTTGGAGGTTTTCAAAAAGAGGCTACATGGCCATCTGTCAGCAATGCTGGTTTTGTGAACTTAGGCAGATCATGAGAGGGAGGGCAGGAAGGGTTGCCTCAGTGCTTAGTTCTTGTGGCCCTTTCTTACACACCCAGGGAAATTATGATTGCCATTTTGGGGTCAGGAAGCAATTTTTCTCCAGGCCAGTTTGGCCAGGGATCCTGGAGGTTTTTTGTCATCTTCTGGGCATGGAACAGTGGTCACTGTAGGTGTGGAGGTGGTAGTATTTGTGAATTTCCTGCATTGTGCAGGGGGTTGGGCTAGATGACCCCAGACGTCCCCTCCAACTCTATGATTCTATCTACAATATACATTTATGTGTGTGAAATCAAAATAAAAACTCTGGACAAAATCAAAATAAAGTTTCTGTTTTGTATTCTGAAAAACGAGGTATTTAGAGAATGCAGAGGAAAGTTCTGCATGAACCCTACTGAAATGCATGCACGTCACACAAGAAAAGGTGCTCCTTTTTACAACCAGTTTATACAGGGAAGAATCTAATGGCAGGATTGAGAGCTGTTGATTCAGAGACTTACTACCAGTCAGAGCACACAATACTGAGCTACTGAATAAATAAGTTTCCTTTGCCTGTACAGCTACAGGGCTGTGGAGATGGAGTGTCCATTATTTCAGTACAATATCTCAGTGTTGATTTTTTAAAACTTTGGTCCATGAGATCTTAACAAACAGTTATGCCAGATATAGAAACTGAAACATTCTCCCTACATTCAAATCACGTCTTCTACCACACAGACACACACACACATCTTGTCATATGTTAATCAGCATTAGGAATGAGCCCAACCTTTATATAATGCATCATCACAAATCTTTGTCCGTATTGACTGTGAAGTCAAAATCTTTACTCTTAAGAGCAGGGTTGTTCTAAAAGTCACAGGAAGGGAAAGAGCACACTCTAGTGAGCAAGGCTTGACATTTAGCAGACAGAAAGAATTAACAGGGGACAGTATCAAGGGAAGCTCAAAGAGGCAGCTACTATAAAAACAGTAGGGCTAGTCGTGCCCTTGTGTTTTAGTAAAAACTACCAGTCACAATGCTCCAGTAGTGTCCCTTTTCCATGTACATTTTCAGTAATGGGTATTTCTGTACTTCACATTCAATTTTGCTTTCTTCTCACATGTGGAGAGGGATGTGCAGTAGTCTGTGACTCAATATATTTGGTTTACTTAATTTCTAATACAGACATAAAAGGCATTGGTAGCAGTCTCTGTGTTCTCTTTGGGGGGCACTTTTCATACAAGAACACAACAGTAGTGTTGCTTGGGGGAAAAATTCAGTTTGGTACTTATAGATTGTTCTAAATACCAGAATTAAAACTTTAAGGCTTGTAAAGTGAATACACTCATAGTTGGTATAATTGATGCCAAATGTAGGGAAGTGTCATGCATTGCACTTACAATAACCTGTTCCAACATTATCTTGGCAGCTATGAAATTGTAAACGTAATAACATCAGAAAAACCCTGCTGGATCAGACCAGTGGTCCATCTAGTCCAACATCCTGTCTTACACAGTGGCCAACCAGTTACTCTTGAGAATCAACAACAGCGCTTACAGGCCAAGGCCTTTGCCTGATATTGCCTCTTGGCACTGGTATTTAGAGGTTTACTGCCTCTGAATATGGAGGTTCCCTTTAGTCATCTTGGCAAGTAGCCACTGATAGACCTATCTTCCATGAATCTGTCTAATCCTTTTATAAAGCTGTTTATGCTTGTGGCCATCACTACATTTTCTGGCAGCAAACTGCACATTTTAATTACCCATTGTGTAAACAAGTATATCCTTTTGTCAGTCCTCAGTGTCCTGCCCCTCAACTTCATTGGAAGCCCTTGAGTTCTTGGACTTTGAGAAATGGAGAAAAAGTTCTCTCTGTATACTCTATCAATCCTGTGCACAATTTTATAGACCTCTATCATCTCCCCCATTACTCATCTCTTTCTAAATTCCAGACTCTTCAGCTTTTCTTCTTAGGAAAGGTGCTCCAGACCCTTAATCATTTTGCTTCTCCTTTTTTGTACTTTTTTCCAGCTCTGCAATGTCCTTTTGAGATACAATGACCAGAACTGCACACATCATTCCAAATGAGGCTACATTGTGTATCTATA